AAAAAAGTCATAGGTTAGCATGTCGTCTGAAATATGATAAAAAAAAGTCATAGGTTAGTATGTCGTTCAAAATATGATAAAAAAGTCATAGGTTAGTATGTCGTCTGAAATATGATAAAAAAGTCATAGGTTAGTATGTCGTCTGAAATATGATAAAAAAAAGTCATAGGTTAGCATGTCGTCTGAAATATGATAAAAAAAGTCATAGTGTGTGGCTCATTTTCCTGCTCATGGCTTCTTTCAAAAAACTCACTCACACTCACACACACGCACACACACAAACTCACACACACAAGCCAAGTCATCTACTTTGTCCCAAGCGTTGGTGCAGCTTCGGATTTCGTGGAAGGAAAAGTGTCTTCATTGCGGAGCGTCACGTAAACGGCTGTTGAAATGTCAGCGGCTGAATGTGGTCCTGGCAGAGGAGACCTGCAAGGAATCCATATTTGCATGTGATGATGGAGCAACTCAGGCTCAGAAACTGCAACCAGATCTGCTTCACATGGCTTCAGTTGTTTTTTTAGTCAGATACTTGATTTTATTGGTTAAATTACCTTTGAAATCTTTCACTTAATTGATAGAAAGTAGAGCCATTACAGAGAATAACACAGATTCATGTGTTTGCATTGTTATAAGGGATCCATGCTTCATTTAAGGTGAACTGACCACAGAACAGTTTAAAAATCACTTCATCCTCAAAAGGTTTAAACATGGTTAATCTTGGTTGGCACGCATACAAACAAGCTTATGGTCAAACATGCCGCCACAAAAGTATGTGCTGGTCCACACACACACATGCAGTTAGTGCACTGTACTGACTCTGGTCTGTCTGAGGTCCGGAGCAGAGTTTTCACCTGCTGCCTCTGAACTCAGCACAAAGACCTTATTGTGACCAGTTAGATTCCACTGTTAATCATGGCTGGGATTAGAAGACTTTGATACACACACACACACACATTCACACATATACTCATGAGTGGGGTTTTTCCCCTCTAACACACTTTCACACCAGTATGAGCATATAGAGACACTTGCATGCAAGAAGTCATGTGGAGGGACTCACACACACATATATCACTGCCTCGGGACAGTTCTCTCAAGAAGCTTGTATCAACCTTATTCAAGCACACACACACACACACACACACACACTCAAACACACACAGAGCGATGCTGGCTTTTTAAAATCATCATTAAAGCACTCTGTATAATGTTTGCCAATACTTTAGCTGCCTTAAAGAACGTGATCTTTTGCTGAATGAAATCAAAAATGTGTCATGAAACTTTTTTTTAAGAAGGGCCATAGGTTGGGATGACCAGCAGGCTTATAGCACCACCTGCTGGAGAAAGCATGAGAGGCAGTGGCCCCCATCACTGTGCTATCACATCATTAAATTACAGTACAATACACAGGAGACACATGGTATAAAAACTACTTTGAAAATGTACTGAGACAACAAAACAAACAGATGGTGTACTGAATAAGTTATTTATCCAAAATTCCTGTATTATGTTAATTTCCATTGTGAGACTCCTGATTCAAGATGAGGAATTACCTGCACACACATTATTCTCCTGTATGATTTATCCTTCATAAGATAATGTGACCTCATTACTCATGTTATTAAATACACAGTGAGAGAAGTAGGGAAGCAGCAGTCAGTGTCCCGCAGTCTTCTCTCAGTATAAGACATGTAGAGCAGCGTATTTTTAATAATGTAAGGATGTCAGTTATTTAACATATTTATGATCCTGCCAGTGAAACATCCAGTTTTTTTTCTGATGATATGATGGCATCACTGTGACACTTCATGGTTGTGTTACAGTCTGCAGCTTTTACTGTCATGTCATTCCGTGCACAATCTGTGATGTGCACTTTGTGTTTATGAGGCAGTGATGAAATTCTGTCTGTCCTCTCTCCATATAAAAGATTAATAGAATGAAGCTTGTGTTAATATTACCTGATTATCTGTTGTAAATTAACTGTGTATGAAGTTGTTGTGGCCGAGTGGTTAAGGCGATGGACTCGAAATCCATTGGGGTAACCCCCGCGCAGGTTCAAATCCTGTCAACAACGATCAATCAGTCAATCAAATATTATTTGTAGAGCCCATACTCAAAAATCTCCCTTTGTCCTTTACCCTCATCAACAGTAAGGAGACACTGCTCTTAGGGGAAAACATGTACAAGCCTCACCAAGGACAGACAGAAGTACAATACAACTGTAACTGAGAACAGTATATATTGATTCAAAGGAACTTTATTAATTGAAAGAGTAAGATGCTGTTTCCATCCATGACATCATGCATGTTGGAAGGTCAGAGCCCTTTTTCCTAGGACTTGATTACAGAAAGTCAAATGCAGGAAAACTTTGTATAATTCTTTAACACATCTTTAAGGATGATTGAGTGACTCTAAATGCAGGAGTTTGTAAAAGGTGTTTTTTATAATGATGTGTAGAATACTGGCTCCTCAGCTCCTCTCTGATTTAACTTGGGTCAACAGTTGCATGTCTGACACCACAGATGATCTTCAGGTGGTGAAAACAGTGATGAAGTCCACATAAAATAATGGTGCAGACACACACTACTGTGTGAGGGTTTTTACTTCCTGCCTCCATGACAAGTACATGATGCATTATGCATGTGTTGCATACACTGCAGAAGACTACAGTTAACTAGAGAGTCAGCTATGTGAGTCGGTCTGGACCATTCAGAGCTGTGTGACTTCATTTGACAGGACATTGTGTGGGTTTAAGAGGGACCCACTGAACAGAAGGCAGATGGATTGAATGTATAAATATAAGTCTGCGATGGCTGGGAATCGAACCCAGGTCAACTGCTTGGAAGGCAGCTATGCTCACCACTATACCACCATCGCCACATCTGTAAGAGTTTTCCCTCACAAAAAAGAAGACAAGAGGAGAGGGGGAGCATAGATAGATAGATAGATAGATAGAGTACTTTATTCATCCCCGGAGGGAAATTAAGTTGTCATAGCAGCTTGTGTATCGGAACACAACAAAACACAATGCAATAGAACAAA